CCACCCCCGCCCCTTCTTCTTCTTCTTCTTCGCCACCCCAACTTATCCACGTTCACTCTGAGCTCTCCAAACCCCCCCCCTTCCACCCCCATCCAGAACGTATTCCTCAACCCACCACCTACACTTCTTCCACCTACAGCAACTATACTATACTCTTCCAGTTCTCGCATGACTCCCGCGCTCCTTTCAGTCATCCACTTATACTCAGTCAACCCTTTTCATTGCGAAAACGTCGTCGTTCCACGATTCACATATTTCTTTCTTTCTTTTTTTTTCCTCTTTTTCTCTCCTTCTCGTGTTTTTTTTTTTTACTTTTTTGTTTTTTATATTTATCGCTCGAGTATTCTACTCTCTCACAATTATCCATGTCTCAATATGTTTCTCTCTCTCTCTCTCTTTTTCTTTCTTTTTCTTGTTTTTTTTTCTCACTGTATTAAGCTCAATCGCTACACCCTAACGATGATGGTTTAAAGTAGTTTCGTTTAGCTCGTCTTAATTAACTTACACGCATACCCAGTCATTATCTTGACACTTTGGTATTGGGTAGTATCTTTTTTCATGCCACACGATCCCACCCTCTTCATTTTTTATTTTGTTTTCATCCTACTCCACTTTTACAGTGAACGATACACCCTCGAGTTGTTTAAGTCTAAACTACTCTTTTTACTAGTTAGCTTCTTCGTAATTAGCTTGATAGAAAAAAAAAATAGAAACGAAATACTCACTTTGGTATAAACTACATGTGTGTATATATATTTATGAATGCATGAATGCATCCATGTATCTTTATATATACATTTATGGGCAAATGTATATGTATGTATATAAATTGTGTATATATATATATATATATAAAATACTGGTGAAATTGTATATGGTGTTTGTCTTTCATATTCCAACTGACGATTATAATATCGTTGTTCAAACTTACTCCTTGATATGTGTATTCAACGAATAAAGTTATCCCTATGTTCTCGCCAATCGATGTATGTCAATTAACTTAATTAATAATTTCTAGAGAAAATGGTCTGTTTAAATAGATAGATAGAGAGTGAGAGAGAAATATATCGATATATCATATATATATGATGATGATGATGATGGTGATGGTTGGATATGGTGAAGGGAATAAAATCCTCTAGAGACCCTTGTTCCTTTTCGCATGATCGATTCAATCTACGAGATATAAGAAAAGTAAATTAAAAAAAAATCTGGACGAGCATATAAAACCCTAATGGTATCATCCTATCTATTATTTTATTTTTTTTATTTTTTTCTCTCTTTAACTTTTATACGCTGTGTCGCGAATAATAATTGTGAATACGGTGGATATAATGTGAACGTAAGGAGTTTATACTACTTATGAATGAATGAAAGAGTAAGAGTTAGTGGCGCCGCCTTACGTCTAACGTAGCAACTTCTTTACTCATTGCGATTTACTTTACTCGATTGGTTATACGTATTAACACGTACAACACACACTATCATATTATGAATCAAATTCTATTTGTCAATGGGAAATACGTTGTGAAAACATTTTGATAATCAAAACGAATATAAATACAAATTGGTAATAATTATTCTTTTTTTTTTTTATTTCATTTATTTTAAAATGATAATATTTAACGAGATGCAATAAACGTCTCATGTCGGAATGAAATTGAACGAATAATGAAAATGTTGAATAACGTAGCTTCTTTTTTATCTAGAACATTGTAAAATCCTACATAGTTAAACACAAGATTGTTCGTTCTAGCGAACGATGATAATTATTCTCGTACGTTAAGCCATAAACGTTAAGAGAAGAAAGATAAAGAGAACGATGGTAGGAAGGGGAGGGGGGTTGTGTGTCTCGCATGGCTAAATGTTCTTAATGACATCTTGTAATTGCCTAGAAAGTTAACAGTAATTAACCCTATAGAAGATAGTATTATTTGTTCTAACTCGTTACGATTATCGAGTGTTACTACGATTTGAATAGAATAGAGATTATATAGGATAAATCAAATTTAAATAGAAACGATCTATATCGATTTGTAATTAAAATTTTTTATTAAAATTTTCGAATATTTATGAAATAAAATTCGATACAACAAACGTATACCAAAAGTAAGTTTACTACATTGGAAATTGTATTACAATAGCGTATAAATCTTATCTAGTTTTACAAATGAAAAAAAAAAAATTAAAAAAACTAAAAGAAATAAAAAAGAAACAAAAAGTAGAATCGATCGATTACCGCAAATGTGCTTTCGATACAACGTGATCGATATATTTACACTGGTGTGACCTAGACCAGGGTACGTGTACGATGAGGTGTGTATGGTGGGGATAGGGGGTTAACGATGAGTATGTGTTTGTGTGTGTATGTGTTTGGTCGTAGAGAAATGGGTAGGAAACGAAGGTAGAACGTGGATTTTCGGCGAAGAGAACTAAGCGAATCCGATTGGTCGAAGGAAGGGATCGATCGGTTCGACCTCGGCGACGATTTGAATAATTTATTCGAACGATCAACCGTATTAATATTCATTACTCGGTCAATACTCGATCGAGCGAATCATCATCATCATCGGTACTGGGATAATTGTCCGCGTAAACATTCCGTTCGGCTTAGGCCGTTGAATTTGCCACATTGATCCGAATCGAACGAGGATAACATCACCGTGGTACCGTTCCTCATCTCGTCTACACACTCTAGCCAAACGTTTCCCACCTCTATTACAGAACATCTGTATATCGTTCGAATTTCGAGGGAAAACGGAGGGTAGGTAGGAGAGAGGAGGGTGGAAACATTTCGAGAGAACCAATCCCGAATATTTCTATCATTTACATTAACCCCGTATCGGTCGTAAGTCACTTGGTAAGTGATTTATAATAAATTATATTATTTATAATTAAATTATTGATAATTTCATACATTTCTAGTAATCCTTTAAAAAAAAATAATTTTTAATAAATAATTATAATTGTAATAAATAAATAAAATAAAATAATAATTATAATAAATAGTTATTCTTATAATACCGAACAATTTTATTTGTTTGTGTGCTGAACAATATTATTATCGAAATTCACTTATAACTTTTAGTGAGAATCATCAATATAAAAATCTGACGATCGATAAGCGTTAATATACTAGGTGAGACATTTTAAACTGGACACTTGAATAAATCAATTTCTATTTTGATAGAAGAAAATGTAGTAACTCATCGACTGCCAATTATGAGATATCTCGTAGTGTGTGTGCTGCAATTTTTAGATTAATTACAAATGGTCATTTGATTTCAAAATTATTTTTAAAATAACGAATGAAAAATTATATTTTATATGGTGTAAAAAAACATATTAATTTATTTACTGTAAAATGCATTAACAAATGTTATACCAGTAACTTATTAATATTTAATATATTTTGTAAAAATTTTGTGTATTCTTTAAAATAAAATTTTGGCACTCCCAGGGCAAGACGTTCTAAATATGCCTGACAGAGTCAATGGGTTAACCATGATTTATCTTTGGTTTTAAAAGTTAGAACATAATCTCGTGTTAAGTATGTGGTGTAAATGTGTTTGCCGTGTGTTGCACCTTACGGTCGTGTAAGTTTTTAATCTTTTTAACCCTTATCGGTCGTAAGTCACGTGGGAAGTGACTTACAAATAAAAAAATGCTACTAATAATAATTAACCCTCTGCATTCGAGGCCTTTTTTAGTTACAGCAGCACAACCAGCAATTCGAGACGATTTTGGCCAAATTATGAAAACATTGTACATGTACTTTAAAGTCATTTATAAACAAACTAACGTATACAAATAATCAAATTTCATCAATTTATTTATTTTTATATAAAACAATAAAATTTAAGAAATATTATACTCTATAATTAGTTTTTGTATGATATTTTGTAAAACAATACTCAAGATGCATCTTAGATTTATCAAGACACGTTTTACAATAGTATGTCACTTCCCGCCTACCTCCAGGCGTATTATGATCAGAGCAAATCTTACAGTCTCTTTTCGGTCCTTTAAGTATTATCTTTAAATATATGTTAAAAGAAATATCTTATCACAAATCGTAAATAAGCAGATAGAGTAACAAAAGACTTCAAATTAGCCGGGCGCCGTATCAGCGCCGCTCGAGTTGCCACTAAAATCTGCCGGACACTAATTAGACACTGCTCGAGTACAATGGGTTAATAATTTCATGTATTTGTAGTATCCCTTCAAAGAAAAAATATAAATCATTTCTAATAAATAATAAATTATTCTTATAATATAATATTGAACAATTTTGTTGCATATATGCCGAAACCATTTACAACTTACAATTATTAAAAATCATCAATATAAAAACCTTACAATCGATAAGGGTATTAATATAGATAACTAATTGGAATAATTTATTGTGTTCCATTTATACAAAAAAAAAAGTACAAACTGTATAAAGTACAGTTGAATTTTGTATTTCTTTTGGGTTAAATACATTTTTTATTTTTTTTTATCACTAGCAACAATCGAGTTATATGAACAGTCTCGTTTTATATTATACTTCAGCCCAGTATATACGAGAAAATTGCACTCGTGGAATATTTTTTTGTATTTACCGTTGTAGCAAAGATAATTGAATTTTTCAAGGTACCCAGTCGAATCATATAATTAATTAACGACTGTGACAATCAATTATTTGATTAGCTTCTATATATATTCTGTAATTTTGAACAATCATACGGCTAACGGACCATTAAACGGATCACATATGATCCTGTTACGTTAGAATCAATTATATAATGTAATAATAATCCCTTAAGAGAAGAGGGATACCAATATGTATGTGTATGTCTGTATGTGTGTTTGTACTTACCCCGTTGAAAGTCTTTACGTTGTGCAATGCATTCTGTGCGTCCAAAGCCGCTTTTCTCGTGTAAAAGGTAACAAAGCAGCATCCTGTAACATAAAATGAATTACAAAGATATTATTTAAACAACAATAAAAAATTATTGAATTTATTTCAAAATAATAATAATAATAAGTGAGAGACGATAATGAACACGACAGACTGACTATTTGACAATTGAATAATTGATTAACTTTTTTTTTTTTATTAACAAAAAGTGAAAAAGAAAATGAAGAAGAAAAATAATGAAGATCAAAATAAAAAAGAATAATAAAAAGTTTGTTTTTTAAGAAATGAATCGAACCTTTTTCACTGTAGTCGTCCCTTTACAGAACTTGGCATATGTTGAGAGAATTGGCAAACGAATTCGACCAATTGCTGCTCGTTAGTAGTTACGAATTGGCAAAAGTTCGAGATTCACAGTATTTCTATCTAGCTTTTCTAGCTTTTATCCTATACACATATATCTTGTCGATTAATTCCTACCAATCCTTTTTCCTATCTTTCACTCACTTTAGACACGCGAATGGAGATGGTAAAAGATGTTCACGAACGTAAGCGTGCACGTTGGTATTACAGGGGGGTCCCCCCTTCCCTTTTAGTTTACGAATGAGTTGCTTTACCTGCATAACTATTCTCTCATTCCTAGCAATCCCCACAATGCTTTTGCGAAAGTCCGTGAAGCTTAAGCAATATGTTTGTTCTTCTTCTCATTCTCTCATTCTCTCTCTCTCTCTCTTTTTCTCTATCCAACAACGAACTTTACAATTCCCAGTTGAAACTTACGATTCCCACGAATCGTTGAATTAACGTTCTGTGCACACCCTCCTCCTACTGCTCAATGAAAAAAAACCAACTCTGACGTAACCCTGACACAACTCTGAGTCCTTCTTTTTAGTTACTTTTAGTTTATTTATATCTGTGGTAAGATTAATCTATTAACTGTCAAATTATGTTTTTCTTTCGAAAATACTTAAGGTAAAGGCACGAGTAGTTGTTGACTAATTAAGACAAATTGTTATTGTGAAAAAATGGTGGTAACTTTTTGCATTTTTATTGAATAGTAATAGTACAATACCCATACGTATAAAGAAGAAAAGAATTTCAATGATTCAATTATTCAATTATCAAATTTCATTTAGCATTCATACTTGGCTCATGATTAAATCTATCTGCCAAATTATGTTTTTTTTTTCGAAAATATTTCATATTTTTGAAAATGTCTCAAATTTGAATTGTGTTTGGTTGCATGAAAGAGAATAATTAAAAAACTATTTCTGTTATTATACGTGTTATCTTATGCATACAAAAATAAATATTATTTATACAATTTTTTCCCATACAGTTTACACGTAACCCAGTGGTTTACGTAAAATTCCAAAATCCCCTATATGGACAGATCATGGCAGCTACTGGGTTAAAAATACATTCGACTATATTGTTGAGGGCCAATTTATTTAACTATTACTATTCTTTTTATTAGAGATTTATTCTTTTTTTTTTTTTTTTGGAAAATGTACCCCAACAATATTTGCCATAAGCAATGCGTTAATAATCCTATTCAAGGTAAGCAGGAAGAACGTTATAATGATATTGTAATGAAACACTAATCTTCATCTAAAGGGGTGCTATAACGTGATTACGTTTAATAGAAGCATCGGCAAGGTTTGCAATTAAGGTAGGAGGAGGAGGAGGTGGAGGACGAGAGTGTTTGTGTGTGTGTGTGTGTGTGTGTATCGTGCATACCTTGTTTTGAACGATAACGCAATATGGCAATATTCAATATCGAATTTAACGACGATAGGTACGATCTCACGACGAATATCGTAATTGCTATCGGTAATATACGATGGTTGTTCGATTTTAGGATGACTATACTATAATACTTTATTAAAACGTATAAAGTATTATATATACAGAGAGCAGGTGGTTGGGTGGGGGTAGGGAAGGGGGAGGGGAGTTCGGTATTTCTTGTTTCGCGAACGAACGTGACTAGAACCTAACCAACGATAGATATCACAGATTTTAATACATCTTTACATAAAAGTCTCACTTGACTTCTCATAGTTTACAATTTTAGTAACTTTCATCCATTATTCTATTATATTTCTAGCTTATAAACTTGAAAAACGTTTATCATCGATGTTTATTCGTTAATATTTTCGATGAAACATACAAAAGTTAGAATTAAGTTTTTTGTTCGATCAATCTCAAGTTATGGTTCAAATCAATTTATTTCTTCATTCGCACATCTTCAAAGTTTTCTATTAAAAAGTTTGATTATTACGCGAGTTTTTAAGAAACAAAAAAAAATTAATAGTCAAAGGAACCAAGTGTGTCGAAGGAAATGATTCGTAAAGGTTCGAAAATTGACGTTTAGACGAATTTGTGAAAATTTATGAGAATGTTGGCTCTCTCTTGGATAAAATTATGATCTAGGCGAGTAACTAATCTTAAAGCATCATCATCATCATCATCATCATCATCATCATCATCATCACCCGATAGACCCTTAAATCACATCGAACGAACTTTCCCTTCGCCGAACGGTTGCTGCTTGGCCGTTCGCCGAACAGCCGTCTGTAATACTCGTGTCTACAAATGACCCTATTCGTCGAGGTGCCAACGCTTGCGTTGCTAGTAGTAGTAGTAGTACTCATTCCCCTTTTAACCACCTTCCATCATCCCTTTTCCCTTGACTGATGATCGCCACGTAAGCGAAGATCACAAGGAAGATATCACACGAAGTCATTCGGGTGTTGAACTAGTAGTCAACGTAACGCGATTAGAACATCTAATCCTTTTTTTTCTTTTCTTTCCTTTTTTTCTTTTTTATCGTTGATCTAAACACGAAAACTTAACTTGCCACAATCTGTGCTAACTATTCTCCACGAATGTTGTTGTTCCTTCTTAGTAATTAACTTTTTTTTACGTGTGTTCCAATGAATGATTACAAACCTTGGTTGTTGATCGTTACATTTGCTTTTGATCTTGAAAATATTTTAAACATGTTGTAAGGATAAAATGTTTTAAAACGTGAGAATATTTTACCCCGTAGTCGTGTAACAATAACCCTCCCCCCATTCCTCAACGAGACTAATAGTTTGTGAGTCTTTGACGTTTAAACATACGACGACAAGAGCTTTCGAAGATTGTTAATTGAATTTTGCGTTTATAGAAGGTGAAACGTTTCTATTAACAATAACAATGATCCGATTTCATAATGTTACTGGTACAATTTCATAATTACGGAACTGTAATTATATGCAAATTGGGATCAATTATTAATAAGCGAATTATTAACCTCGGGAAACACAGCAGTGTGCACCCATGTATTCCCATGAGTTTCTCCCACGTATACAGTTTGAATAGCACTAGTTTAGAGTAGAGAAAGATAGAGAGAGTGAGAGTGAGAGTGAGAGTGAAAAAGAGAGAGAGAGAGAGAGAGAGAGAGAGAGAGAGAGAGAGAGAGAGAGCATCGTTGGTCAACGACGACGGTGTAATTTTCTCGTATGGGCTTTGCCCGGTATTTTCTGACTGCCCACTACCACCACCCATTGACCACTACTCTAACACCTACATCCCAGTACCAACACTACTAATAGGAGGGACTATACCTCGTGACGTGCGTTACTTCGGAGGAAAGCTCTCGGCGACCTGGGAATCGCGAACAAAGCGAAAATCAATTTCGCGTAACATTGTGGAATTCTAATTTCTAGAAGCGTCAGAAGTTAATTATGGAAGATTAAATGTTAGTCATGAAATTATGTTTAATTTTGTACCATGCTATATATCGATTCATTTCTTATACATTTTAAGTAAAGAACGTCGTATTTTATTTGTTAAACATATTAGAGGGGGAAAATTTATAATGGTTTAAGTTATAAAAGTTACTAGATTATTGTGAATATTTCTAAAATAGTGGAAATGAAATATGAAAAGTAGTATATCAAATCCTGACAAGACCACCACTTTGATTTTCAACCCCTCTCCCCGTTTATATAAATTGTATTGTAAATACATTTAAAATATTTGCATTGTAGATTAATGTAACTTTCTAAAACAAAACAAAAATAATTGGATTAATTTTCACAAACAGGACAATTACAAAATATTAGCCAAACTTTCTGTTGCGACTTCTAATAGATAAAATTCTAAAATAAAATAAACTGAAACAAATATAAATTAATAAAATCAATCTCAATCAATCCTATAACTCGTTCGTTCTCATTTTACACACACACACATGTGTAATGACATGTTAAATAAATGTTACATCGAAAATGGTTTATGCAACGATCAAACAATGATCGTCTACGTTAGCAGAATATAATCTCGTGTGTTAGAGTATGATATCGTTTTGAAAAATTGCTATGACGAATGAGCAACCACCACCGGGTTCTGTTCGAACAAACAAACGAACGAAAGAACGAATGAATGAATGTGCGAATGAGAAACGAAACGAAACGTTGGGAGGGAATGGATGGTGGCCTGCAGGGCCTCGTCGCCATTAGGGATTCCCAATTCACGTCGTAATTATCGCTAATTGGACTCCGGATTATACTTGCGCGACACTCGACGCATGAAACGGCCGTCGTTCGCGGCGCGAATTATGCATTGCTCGCGTTTACATATACATAGGTAGGTAGGTAGGTTTTACCTATATATAGAATTTCACGGTAGGCACGTCGAGAAACGTTTCGTGTGACATCAAGCGAATAGAAGAGGAGAATAGAAATAGAAAGAGAGAGAGAGAGAGAGTGAGAGAATGAGAAAAATAGAGTTGTGTGTGTACGTGTATTTGTACATATATGTGTGTGTATGTGTATGTGAAAGAACGAAGACGAGAGGAAATCAAGAAGACGTATGTAAGAGAAGAGTGTGGAGAGGGGGTGGAGGTGTAGGAGGTTTGTTGTCGTCGATGCATCGCATTGTGCAAAATTCCATCGCGCGTCGTCGTCGTTCGTTTCGACGACGGGAAATTATTCGTGCGTGTAACGTAAGAACTGGGAATTCGACGACACAAACACATACACGCGTAACGATTCGT